AAAGTGAAAAAAGGGTAGTCTACTGTATCTATGCATCTTTCAATAATATTTGTATATTTGATCTTTTTTTTTTAATATTTTTGTCTCATATTCAGGTTACCTAGCTGACATTTCAGTCTTCCTCCTATAGCTTTAAATATCAATGAACTTCATTTTCTTTTTATTGAAGCTAGTAATATGAACCAATATTTAGAAGTTATTCTTCATCCCCAACATTGGTGTCAATATATGAAAGAAATGCAGCTTTGCATTTGATGGACAAGTCTGATTGTCGCTTGAGCTCTGGCTCCTAGATAATAAGTTGAAGACTGGAGGGGAAAAGCATGAATGACATCAAACTGCTACTGCTACTTGTAGAATAATGCTTTTGACTGACAAAAACTCGTACTATGACGAACCTAGGAGCAGAACGAGTGGGATATAGTTTCTTTCTCTTGCCCTAAAATGATGGCTGTAAATTATTCTATGCCCTATGCCAAAGACCTATAGAACAGAGCTATATGGTTGTAATACTCTTGTCACTTTTCCAATATGGTTGTATGAATGATCGTATTTTTTTTTGTGATAATATTTCCAAGAGCTATATGTCTATGTGTAAGAGTATTAAATGCATCCATTTTGTGAAATGGATTTCATAATTTTTTAACTCAAAAAGTGCACACATCCCTGGATCCCAAACTTGCAAAATAGCTGAAAATATGCATTGGTGTGATGATTGATGGTGTATGGCATTTTATGCACAACTACAGGAACTCTAGTATGTTTATCCATTTTGTCCTTAAATATGCAGTTGCAGCTTCACAAATAGCTTTTGGGTTTGGAGGGGCAGCAACTTCCATGAAACATGGCGTTCCCAAGGGTGGGAGTAGTAGCAATTATTCAGGTTCATATTGTAAGCTATAGTTGGAAATAATGTTATCTGATTTCCAGTTGGTAGCTGAGTATATGTATAGGTGCCTGACACTAGCTATGCTTATGCCTTAGGTGCAAGCCAGATGAAAGAATACAAAGAACCGTGGGTATGTAAAGCCTATACTCCGACCAAATCCAGCAAGCTGACTGACTCTACTAACTCTGACTTCCTTTTCTGTGTTTTTGGCTATTACTGTAGGACTATTACAGTTATTATCCTGTAACTCTTCCTTTAAGGAGACCTTATTCAGGAAATCCAGGTATCTTCTCTACTCCTTTTGTCTACTTTATGATTTTCAAAGTAATATCTTTCTGAACTTGGCATCTATGTTATCAGTTATATTAGTTATTTTAGTTTCAAAATTGGATTTAGTTTGAAATTAGATATAGTTATAATATATAGTTTTATTATTTAGAGATATAGCAGGATTACACTAACCAGTAAACCACATTATTACAACATGACTGTATCTATCCCTAGACCCATATCTTTCCATACCATGAGCCACTTATTGCTATAGAAGGCAATGCAATACAATTTGATAACACTAATTTTTTTTGCCTGCAGCATATGCATATGTCAATACTGCATTCATTTAGTTATATACAGACTGAAGTTTTATTCTATGCTATAATATTATGATTAGACCTTGTGATCTACTATGCTATACAGTTTTATTTGAATAGTATGTTTAATTGCATGTGTTATTTGTAGAAATTCTTGATGAGGAGGAATTTGGGGAAGTGACAGAGACTGCAGTTTATAATGAAAGTTCAGTAAATCCAGCCTTGGAGCTTGGTCTAATGGTTAGTGGCCTTACCAGTAAAGCTTAAATAATGAGCATTTATAGAACTTAGTTAACACCTTTTTGAGGGTCCTTGGCAGGAGGATAATGCAGAACCAAAAATGTTATTTCTTCAGTTACCACCAACTCTCCCCTTGTTGAAACGGCCTGCAAAGGCTAACGGGCATGAGGTGGGTGATAGCTCAAGGCCATCTGGTGGGGCACGCACAACAGAGAAGACATGCGGGTTAGATGATTTGCCAGCAGGATTAATGGGTAAAATGTTGGTGTATAAAAGTGGGGCTGTCAAGTTGAAGCTTGGTGACACCCTTTATGATGTGAGTGGACCTTGTACTGAAACTAGTCTAATGATGCATATGGAAACATATGAGACATTAGTGCATAAACTTTTGTATATCTTCATGAATAGATAAGGTTAAACACTAAAAACCATATTGAATTCCTTTAGCTTTTAGCAGATAATTGGATCATTTACCCATAGTAGAAGACCACATCATTATTTGCACCAAAATTTGGAATTTGCATTTTGGTGCCAATTCTTATTACTATTAAAATTATGTGATGGATGCAGGTAAACCCAGGTTTGAATTGCGTCTTTGCACAGGATGTAGCGACCATTAATACCACAGAGAAGCACTGCTGCGTTGTTGGGGAGCTCAACAACCGTGCCATAGTGACCCCAGATATTGACTCTGTTTTGAATAGTACGGAAGATTTCTGATAGCTTTTGCCCTACATTACTCTGGATTATTTGTTGGATTTCATACTTTCTAAAAAGAGGCTAGCAATCAGCCTTTATTTGATTAACACATTCTTTATTAGTAAAAAATAATTATACTCATACAAAGAAATGATTATGTTGACCTTTCTGTCTGCTATTATCTTCAGAAAATTTTGATTTAATCTTTGTTTTGTTTGAGATACTTAAACCTGGAAACAGGTTTGCTTCACGAGGGAAGAATTGAATTGAGATTTACTCACATCTTTAGGGTTTAGAATCACTGAACAGCCATTTCTATTCTATTTTTATATCAAATTTTAGCTTTTCTAGTCTTTGATATAGACTTAAACTATGATTTAATATAGACATGGCAATTTTTTGAAAACTAGTTTAGGTGACAGAAATTGTATATTAACATTATCTTAATTTAATTGACATGATGATAACACAAAAATATTTGTTTAGAAGGAATTTGCATTTTGAATTTTTAAATAGTTTGCAGAAAACGCAGAATTGAATGGTTAAGACTTTTTTGTTTATCAACCCCTATTTATATGTGTAATCTTAACTTTACCCTTTTTCTTTAGGGATGTAAAGAAGGGAAAATTAAATGAATACAATCTATAAGTCCAGTTAAGGCATTATCATGTTGAATGTTGACTTAAATACTCAAGAAAAAAAATTTCAATTGTTTTAAAATTTCTACTGAAATTGTTTCGGAGAATAATTAAACTCCAAAATATACTTTGAAAATTACATTTTTATATTTTGTTAAAATTTAAAAGTATCTAATGTATTTTTTGTTGGGATAAAAAAGCAGTTAAAAATATTTGAAATAAATAAATAAACAATAGTAGTGTCTAATACGAAAATACATGGAATGTATATATATTTTATAATGCTTCAAACAATGTTCATATACAGATACTCCTATAATTCTCATATTATTTTATTATTGGATGTTCTATCTTGAAAGTCAACTTAAATGGTTTTTAATAAATAACATTTTAAAATAAAAATTACTACATAGATAGAGTCATTCAAATAGTAATTTGTGATATCTTATTGAATTATCTACTATTAAATGATATCATGTATGAACTACTTACTAATCATAATAAATTTGTATGCATGCTCTTGTTTATAAATAAGTAAATATTATGTAAGTTAAGAAAATTATTAATTGTAATTACTAAATATTTTAGTACATATAGATTAATGGTTATGAGTTTAAATAAGTATTATTTAAATAGCTTTAAAAATATCAATTAAAATTTATTAATTCATTGATAACAAAAAATACATAGGTATATTCATAGATATATAAGCCCCGGTCTAATCTTCCCTACATTAAGTTACATTATTAAAAAAAAAATTATTTTCATAATTAATTTAATGCATGCATAGTTTTATCGAGAGAAATTAACGAGAAAAAAGAGAGAAGCTCTAGAAGAGGGAGAGAGGGTTCAAGTTTCTTCAAATCTCAAACGAGGTCAAGTGTGTCATAAGGTTAGGAATAAGTACTCTAAATTCAGTTGTTCTAGTTATTTTGCTCATAGAGGATTCGACAACAAGAAACTATCTTTAGTATTGACAAAAAAATTCACGGTTCTATTTCATATGATCAATTATAGCAATTTTTTAAGAATTATAAAAATTTTTGAAGTGTTTTTCTGTCAAATAAGAAAAGGCTGAAAAGAATCACCTTATTTAGATTAATCTGTTATGGGAAACAAAAACAAAGAAAGAGCTATCTTGAAAGCTAATGATATCTTATCAGACAGAGAAAGAGTCCTAGTGCATCCTACTGGGGGAATGGAGAAGCCAAAAAATACCAAAGGGACTTCAGGCCAAATAACAAAGAATTTCAATGAGTTAGTAGCTATTTAGTTTGGGCCTAATTTAAATATGGTGAAAAGGAGTGTATAAAAGTTTTAGCTTGTGGGATAATCAAACCAGGTATTACTAGGGAAAAGAAGCCTTTAAGTGACATTATAGCTTATCTTCAAATCATGAGCTTTATTCATGTTTA